GAAAATGGTGAAAATCACACCCCATTGGAGAAAATAATGGAAGCGAACTGCTAATAGTTTTCATACTCCGAAAAGAATACTTCACCGCTGTGAAGTGTGGACTGTCATAAACAAGATATTGTAAGAATAAAAATCAAAATTCCCAGCTCTTACCAAGAAAACATGCAGTGACATCTCATCTTACATGGATAGGTCATATGTGCATATTACCAACATGTTTTTTAGGAAGTCACCAATACAAATGAAATGTGAGAGAACACTTTCTTGAGTGAAAGAGGGGGGGGCTTGGTGTAACGATTGTAATGTTGCCATTGTGACTTGGAGGTCACATGTTCAAGTGATGGAAGCATCCTCTTGCAGTAAAAAAAACTGCAAGGTAAGGTTTCCCTACAGTACATCTTTGTGGTGGGACCCATCCCGGAGTCCCCACTCAGCGAGGATGCATAGTGCACATGGATGCCCTGTATTTCTTGAGTGTAAAAATGTGCCCTATAGAGGAAATTTTGTTTTTATACCTGCCACCAAATATCTCTTCCCTCCTGCCACTTGGTCATTTCTTTCTCCATAGCTGATTTGTTTTCACACGTCAAGCATACATCTTCCAGAGAAGACAAAAAACAAAGTGCATGTAAGCATCTTTACAGGAAAGTCAGCTAGTAAAAGATGTATGCATGAAAGGAAAATCGAATTCAAAGAAGATAAGCGACGCAATTGTGATTCACAATAGTCGATGTAGAACCCAGAGAAATTTGATACAGCTGTTTGTTTCATCAAGTAGTTCATTTCAAGCAGTAACAGAACTCCAAAAAAGCGGGAAAATTCTAAGAACACAGAAGATATTGGGAGGACAAGTAAAAACTTACTCATATCCCAATTAGTTTTTCAGAATAGTTATATGCTACAGAGTACTATACTACTCTTAGGGTAAGCTAAAGTTACAAAGCATAATGTCACTGCTTTTCCATGATGCACTTTTTTTCAAGTTCGTGCTATCTCCCTCTCATCATGTGCCATGTCCTCTACCGGAAAGACTAGGTCATCTTAGAATTATATAATACACTTGCCAAAATTCTTCGTTAAACCTAGCCATTCTTTGTACTCCCTCCGTTTCACGAAACACTTCCGTTTTAATTTTTTGTGCAGCCCATAAAATACTTCTATCCCACCTATAATGTCTAAAATACCCCCAAAACAACTTCTACCCTCAATAAACTACATAGTGAGGTATATTTTAGATATTTTAGGTGGAGTAAAAGTGTTTAATGAGGTGCGCAAAAAATTAGGACGAAAGGGTTTTATGAAACGGAGGGAGTATTATAAAACGGCAGTGCAAAGTGCAAACTATCTTACGAGATGGACATTGTCATCAAAATCTCCTCACCTATAGTGGCACCACTTTGTTTAGATTCAAAAAGAGCAGCATCAACAATGTCTTTGAGGTGAATGACCTTGGATCCCCTCATAACTGCATTGCAAGTTATCACAACCTTAGGTTTGCAATCCATGATCCTCTGGGCCAGAGATTCAGCAGAAAATCCAGCAAAAACAACCTGCATTAAAAAACAACACGTGTGGATCCTTCCTTCCGTTTCTATAAAAGTATATAATGTCTTCCGTTTCAAAAGAGTTGAGATATTTTTGCCCTTACCGAGTGAACAGCACCAATACGAGCACAAGCAAGCATCGCAATTGGGAGTTCTATACGCATAGGAAGATAAATGACAACTGCATCGCCCTTGTGAACACCAATATCTTTCAAGTAATTTGCAAGCTGAAGACAAGAACAAAAAGTGGTATTGTTTGCAGTTTAAAAAAACATGCAATCAAAATTGTGAAAGCTACTAACCTGGCAAACTCTTGCAAGAAGTTGGTTGTATGTTAGAGCTGCATCAACCCCAGGCTCATTTCCTTCCCAGTAAATTGCAACTTTGTCACCATTTCCAGATTCTATGTTTCTATCCAAGCAATTGTAACAGATATTGGTGATCCCACCTTTGAACCACTGGTGGCAAAAAAGAGATTGT